AGATCTGCTCTGGCCTTCACGTTTCATTGCCCCGAACCTGCGCTGTAAACGATTGTGAAAGGTTCAGTGCATGTTCTGCTCCAAGCCAGCAGGGCTGATCCCCAAGTGCCTCACATGCCTAATGCGCGTACTCCTCGAATCCTACTAGTATGTCATGCGGTTCAAAGGCAGGACAAGCGTATGAAAGCCAGGGGCCGCCGCTATCTCTTCTGCATGCGCCTGCACAGGTTCGAACATCAGTCTCGTAAGACACGCTGGCCGAAGAGCGACAACCTGCGCTCTGCGAGCGTCTTCCACGTCCTTGCGCAGTGCACCTTGGTCAGAGCTACGTCAAAATCTAAATCCAAGCTAAGATCTACCGTGTGAAAATGCGGTCTTAAGCAGAGCACGGATCTCCAAGTCTGCATCAGACGCCTTCACGACGCCATGACGCCATGGAACACACAGTTGTAAGCAACACTCACGGGCGATGCGGTCCTTGGATTTCGCATCTCCTAGCGCAGCCTTTAGCCTTTGCCCGCACATTATGGATAATCACACGCTTTACAAGGGCATCGCATTTGTTCTCGGCCGTGCTTCGCACTGTGTGATTTCGGTCGTCAAACTGCTGTGGCTCTTCTTCAGAGCCTGGAGGCGAGTGAATCACTGCAGGAAGTCGCTTCTAGCTTGCGTATGTTTGAAATGCATCCAGGCGTGCATCAGCTCGCCTCCAACTCCCTTCCCAGAGTAGATGTTCGCCTGAGTGCTCGAAGATCCACTTTACTGGGGAAGAGCACGCAGCACGACTCAACTCCAAACCCACGTCCCCTCATGCTGCAGAACCTTTGCGTGGCTGGGGAACCCTGTGGCCCGCACACTTGCAGGGCTTCTGCATCTTTGACAGCTGCCGACTTTTCTTGCAATGCCTGCATGTAGGCAAAATCTTCGGCCCTGTGCAGCAGGCCGCTTGCACGACCTAGCTTCGAAGCTACGAGGCAGAAGTGGATACTCAACATTCGACCCTGGCTGGGCAGCGGGCGCGCTCTAACTGGGAGCCTTGCTTGCGAAATGCTGCGAACCGAACCAACATCAACCAACTCTTGCAGCCAATGTCAAAATTGCCATGTTAGCATCTGGTACTGTAGCTTCACCCAGGGCAGCGGCGAACGTGGCCCAATTCAGATTGAACAACCTTCGTCTCAGCACAAACCTCGCAGACATCAAAAAGAGAGAGGAATTAGCGGCATCTTTGGGACAAGACAAAAATGCTACTGCAAGCACATCCACCTGGCCTTCTGCAACTCTTGGATTTCGGACAATCGCTCCGTCTCTTTCGTCCTCGTTTGGTCAACTGGTGATATCTGGCGATAGTCCTTTCTGCCTTTCTGCTCCAACAATTGGCAGGCTGACCTGAGGATGGCTGTTTCCGAGGCTAGCGATGCCTGAAGTTCACCAGTTCACTATGGCTCTGCAAAGCTCTGTGCTTCTCTGCGCTGCGGCCTTTGCCAATTCTGCGGCTTGAAGCTCTGCTGTCAGCCTCTGCAGCGCAGACCTTGCGCCAGGCAAACAAGTGCTCACGAGTTCAAGGATGGCAAAGCACAGTTACCCTCGGCCATGCACTCCATCTGCTGAGTCGCAGAAGCCTGCCGCACATTCTCCGCACATGATTTCAGCTAGTGCATGCTGCGTGGTCCAGCCCAGGCAAAGCACCTTTGCTTCACGCTCGGATTCTAAATCGGCTCTTGCACATTTTAGCCTCGGCTCAGGTCCAGCATCCATGGTGTGTCAGGTAAGCGAGCATCTTCGTTTTTTTGGACCCCGGCTGCTGACGAAGCTCCTCTATCTGAGACTTTGAAGTGTCGAGCTCTTGATGGGCTGCATCCTTGGCAGTTCATAACGATACGCCTGCCAAACTTACAATAAGCTGCTCTCGGCACCAGGTCGGCACGGCGCTGCTTCAAGGCCTGCAGACAAAGTGCTAGTCAGGTCACCCACCAGTTTGGAGCAAAGAAAACGATCCAACCTGCAACGCAGCTCGCATCTTCTCCGACCTGCTGCATAGGTTGCACACAGCCAACATCTGAATCCGATCCGTGGGCCCGACCCGTCTGCAGCCACCTTCGGCCAAAGGGGCACACATGCATAAAAGCACCAGAGTGAGGAGACTCGGTGACCATGCACGTTTCGTGTTGTGGCACCTCCTTCTCCTCCTCCTTCGCGTCCTGCGGGCAAAAGGCGAGCGACCATGATTCTGGAGTGTTCCGAAGGTCTCATGAACTTGGGCCCTTCTTCTTCTCCTGTTTATGGCCTTAGTTTGCCCAAAGCCGCTTGAAGCAAACCAAGTTTCCACAAATTTCCACAAATTTTTGCATACTCTAACAAAGACAAAGGCCCTTAACAGGAAGCCTGAACTTACTAAGCCCCACAGCCACCGGAAGGTCATAGCATGGTTTCGTGGAGCCTGTAGAGGCGCCTTTTGTGGAAGCACTCCAGACTGCACTAGCTCACTAGCGTCGTATCCAACCCACCACCATCCCCCAGTGTTCCACCGGAGTAGGAGAGTAGAAACTAGAGCACGAGCTAGCCGAGCGACGACCGCGGGGTACACAACACAGCTAACTCTGCAGTTGCCTGTCTTTTTCCTGGATGTGGTCGTAATCCCAATTCGCCTGGAGTCAATGGCTAGCCTGTGGCAAGCCCTCCCCAGGCGAAGCCACTCAGGCTACCAGGGATTTACCATACGGACCTTTCGGTGAACTTGCTGAACTTCGACACCCTAACCGGTGCCTCTCGCTTTCGCATTCCTAGCTCTTTTTAGAAACGGTGGGATCGAAGCCCTAGAATGCCCCGTTTGTGAGGTCATCCGCCAGCTGGTTGAGGTCTCTCCTTATCCACTGCAGCTGTATATAGCTCACAGTTTCGATGGGATAGCTTTTCGGCCATCTCCATTAAACTTAGCATCGACGGGGATTTGGTCTTCAGAGCACAGCGAGGGCTTCATTGGATTTGTTATCTGTATAGCCCCTGATAGTCACTCGCGAGGGTTTTCTAGCCTCGCCTCCGGAACCGAGAGACGTCCCAGGCTTTTTCCGCTTGGCTTGAGATGGCACAGCATGGTGCAGCCCAGGGCTATGGCACCGCGCCAACGCAGAAGTCGACGCTGACGGCCCTTTGGAACCAGAATTTTCCGGAGCTCCCGGAGTTTGCGGCTAGGCCAGATAGCCGGGAATACACCCACGTGTGCAGGTTTTGCTGGCCGAAAGAAATGTCGCGAACACGATCGCTGGCGAACACCGGCGGCGAGGAACCTCGGCCGGGCGAGCCCCACTGCCGGATAGCCAGCCGCCTGTGGAGCAGGCGGCAGCCAACCTAGAGCTACAGCGGCGCAGTTTTCCGGTGCCTCGGGAAGCCCGAGGCACTGTTCCCGGGGATGTCCCCTGTCGTGTGCTACGGGAGAGGGAGAAGAGAGAACCACGTCCTTGCACTTGTCATGTCTTGGGGGATACGCACTGTTTGTCACTTGTGATGTGCTAGAGCTGCTAGGGCAGCATGTGCGCATGACTTCTGGAGCCAGGGATAGTGGTGGTGATGTCCAAGGAACACGCATCTGCCGCGGCTGTTGTGGTTAGCCGTTGCTGACAGACAAGGGGGTAAGCTTTCTGCGTGCTCGGCCCCGCCTTTGGTGGTCTAGGTGTATCATGGTGTATCTTTCCTGCGGATAGCCATGTCTGGCGCTAGAGCCCGGAGCTGGGCAGCTTCCATTGACAGCGTGTCCTTCTTCGGAAGCTGCTTCTGCTTGGAAGTGGCCTGTAACAAGGCGCAAAGCGCTCAACTGATCCAGAACGACTCCAAGGCTCATCCACACTGGACAGTGAGGTTGCCTTGGCTGGCCCGGAACCTGATTTGGTGAGGTCGTCTCTACGTGCCATGACGTGCCGGTGCAACAAACTTCTACCCAAATCTCGGGCTTCAGCCTGGCTTCTTCGCTGCCCCCTTCAGACTGCGTTGGTTCTTAATTAATCGTACACAGCCATGAGAAGCCGGCTGGAGGCTCAACTATAGGATTGGGTCGGGTATATTATGCAGGCAGCACGAGCACAGCGACATCTCTGTGCCGAAGGCATGCACAACTCCGCCTTCTTGGAGGGCTCCGCCTTTCCAGGCCTCCACATGTCCGCATGTGCGACTTCTCTCAACATGCTCCAGGAGCTGCTCTGAGGCAGAGTCTCTTCTCCGGAAGATGCCGTGCCTGACGACCGAACAGGCTTCTCCGTTGGCATAGCAGGCAGAACACAAGGTTCGCCGGTTTACCACACAAGATCTTGAGAGAGAAGCATGGGCTAACCGACGGAGACCGGCCGGGGATTGGCACCCCGACTACCATCTGCACGACCTCGAGAATTTCGGATGAAAACATGGGCATCTTCCTGGAGTCCCACGCCACCTATGAAGCTGCTTGGAGTCTAACTCACAGACTGTGCATGCACAACCGTGTCGCGGACGAATTCTGTCGTAAGGGTTGTTCAACCATGGCTCCGGCCAACTGCCCCGCATCTACGTAGCCATGAAGCTGATGGGCAAGAATGGACCAGTCACGCCCCAAAGAGTGCGATGGTGAGCTAGTCAGTGTCGAGCTGCTCTGACGGTAGGGTTTTTCGAGGATTGCATGGCCTCTATTGCCTCCAGCTGTCCTTCTTCGTGCCTGTTCAACCGTGGCAAATAAGACGAGAACTCCACTCTGACGCCGACCTGCGTTTCTCAGAGAGGGTAGTGCCAACTCTCTGCATGCCAATGAAATGAAGCTTGAGGCGAACATGAAAGCCTGAGCTTCGTGTGCGACTCTCAGGGCACCGTGGTGCCGTAGCCATAGCGTCTGCGACTATTCGGCTGGCTTCCTTTTGTGGCTCTGCAGTGCTGTGCTCTCCTCGTCACCTCGCGATCGACTTCGTCGCTCTTTGGCGAACGGCTCCGAGGGCTCTGAGCTCCAAGAGTCGTGGCACATCGGCGTCGGCCATCGCTGGTCAGGCCGGTGAAGACTCTGCCACCTGCCAAAATTCTGGGAGGCAGGGTGCGTGTGCTGGTATCATGTCTTTCAAGCCATCTTGGCTGAAGGCACAGTGTCGGAGTTTCAGGCGTCGCCTTTCGTGCCTTGCTTTCCGCATGGTGTCTCATTTGCCCGGCCCGATGCGCAGTGCGTTATCCTCAATTACCAAGGCTTCCGGATTCGGCAAAAGATGGCTCCCTTCAACCTACCCGTACGAAACCTACTGGTAGCTGGCCGTTTTGCGAACCAGCTGCGGTAGTACGTAAGACCTCTGGCAGCAGCAGCAGCAGCAAAAGCAGCAGGGCGCAGCAGCAGCCACAGCTCGAGTGAGAGACACGTCATGAATGAGTGAACCAGTAGCCAGTCTTGCGGTTTGTTTACGGCGTCGGCATACGGCCAACAGCTGCCCAAACTCGACGGGCCTGAGCCATAACACTCAAGGTTTCCCTTGAAGATCGCGCCGAGCTTGGTCGCGTCCTGGAGCCTCATGGCAGTTACAGCGGTGGCGCGCACGATGCGAACTCCAGAGGTCGGCTCCGACGCTCGTAACATCTCGTAACGAGCCTGCCGGTGCTTGCGGCGAGCTAACCTCCTGGCATGGGGCACTCTGCTTGCAGACTCGCGAGATACCCGCTGTCTCACAACACAAGACCATACACCCCAGGACCGCTCGACGCCGGCAAGCATGATCGCCCGTTCCTTAGTTGCAGCGAGGGAGCGAGAAACTCATCAGCAATCTGAGCTGCAAGCGGGTACATGCTCCCGTCATCGGGTCCAAGGAAACCTGTCGTACGAGACGGCGGGCCGAAGCTTGCCAACAACGCAGCCTTAAACCTGGGTTGAGCCTTCACCGGCATCCTCGTCAGGAGGTATGTGCTCGTCGGTCGCCCCATCGATGGTAGCATCCGGCCAGATTGCAGCACGTTGCTCTCGCACCATGGGGCCCTTCCGAGGTCTACCCGGCCTCTGACAAGAGGTGGGGCCGAGTGCTGAGCGAGGTCTCAGCACACGATAGAAGCCGTACCTTGGGCGCAACCTGGTCAACGGACGGCCCAAACAAGGCACTGGCGCTGCACTGTGCACCGGGCCTTCCTCGGCTGACCTCTCGAACCGGAGAAGAAAAGCATTTCAGTTGTCTTTAGCACCAGTTCCACACTCACACGTCTTTGAATCTGCGGTTGAACAGCGGCTGCAATCATTAGTCATTAATGCTGGTTAACTCAGCTTGCGCCAGACGGCCTCTTTGGCAAGCCGAGCAGGATCGGTGCTTGGCACAGTGTTTCCAGGCGCTGTGCCGATGGTGTAAGCACCTGGCGGAACAATCACGAAAGCAAAACACTGCTCGCGCTTTCCAGTCGGACAAAGGCCCGGCACCATAGGCAAACCGATACCCGGGCATGTGCCTCTGAAAGGCAATCGGCCGACAACTGCGAAGCCAACAAGCCAACACCAGAACCTGGAGGGTGCTCCGTGTGCAAATGGATGTCTTTCTCCTGGACCTCTGCATCGGACAGGACCACCCGCCAAGCTAACAGAGTCGCAGGACTGTGTAGGCGCAAAATGGTGCAAAGCTTTTGGGTTTCGGTCAGCCAGACATAATTCTCTGTAAAGAGCTGCTGGGTCCAAGCAGTATCAAGCAGTGCAAATCAGAGCTGGTGACAGCATGCTTCAGCATATTGCAACCCGGAAGTTGCAGCCTCTGTAAATAGAGACAATACAGGATCACTTCAACACCTTACAGCAGTGCCTCCTGGATAACTACCGCTGCAGGTTCTGGTGGGCGAGCGTGGGCTAAGCCTTAGTTCTACTCGAGAACTGAGGCCATCAGCAAGTTATGTTGGCACCGCTTGAAGCGGCGGGCCCATTGCTTTGACTGCCGATCTCTTCCCAGTTGAGGACATGCCAGCCACCTCCAATTCTTACCTGGGATCTCGACCCTGAGCACTAACCGTCCGGGCTTTGTTTGCCCTGAGCGCTGTAAGACTGAAGCGGCATTGTCCTGGTGTTCGCCCTGCCAGAGACTTCGAGACCATGACACGGATCAGCATAAGTCTGTGCCGTTCCTCCCCACTGGCAGCGTCTTTCACCTGAAACAGGGTAGACACGTAAATGAGCCGTGCCGGCTCTGTCCTGATAGACAACGAATGCCTCGGAAGCTGACTTTAGACGCCGCCCACCGATGTCCTGCACGAAACGGCATACAGTAGACCACTTAGACGTATGATGACCTATACAAGGAGTGGCACTGCTCTCATGAACAGACAAGGGCATCATGCCGCTCCTGTGCGGAAGCATCGTCCGAACCAGTGCCGGTCATTCCTGGTCCGGAACCAGGACTTCCGTTAGCCTTGGCGAACTCTGCAGTTGGGGCCTAAGATGTAAGCAACCGGACGCGGGCGTGTTGCGTTTTTTTGTTTTGTCATATCGGGTCTTTCGACTTTGAAGGGCCCTTCCAGCAGACAGAGTATACTGAGTATACCACAGAGTACCCCCCCAGTGCTCAGCCCCATTAAGCTGCAGTCATGGCGGAAATGAAACTAGCAACGGCACAGTACTGAATAATATATAAGGCTTCCTAAGAAATGCTGCGGCCTTTTGTGCCAGAGGCAAGCGTTCTGTAGCATATCTCTGACCGGTGAGCCGCATCTCCCACAAATAAGGCCTGAAACTGAGCCGACCTAGCATCATCAGCATCAGAACTCGATAACACGATAGGTGAAAGCTTGAGGCAATGCTGTGAGGCTGGGAGGGCTGCTCAACGGCAGGATCAAGAAAACTCGGACACAGGAAGATGTCACCTCTTCCTTCGGGAGGTGGGTGGGGATTTCAAAAGCTTGAGGCTGTAAAAGGCCGACATGCAGAAACGTCAGCCTTAGTCATGCGTAACATAACTTCAAGGCTTCCTAAGAAATGCTGCGGCC